GCTTTCCACCAGTCCCGTGGGGAGACCCTGGGGCTAGTCCTTTGGAGAGTGCCCGACATCAGAGCCTACCCAAAGGACAACCTCATTTCCTGATGGGTCAGAGCACAACTTCATTAGCAGGAACTTGCTACAAATACAACACGTACTGCTTGCAAGGGAACAGCTGAGCTTGCCAAAGCTGGGAACAACACGTGTAACCTTCAGATCCTTTGGGATTACTACTGAGTTATTCAAAGGGTGTCAGAGAATGGTTTGACCATAGACTTAGCTGCTTAAATCAAGGACTGTGTCCACCATCTGTCACAGAAAGTGGAGGGGAATTGTGCTCTGAACCAACCAACACAAACAGCCCAAGGACAGAAATGCGGCTTTTCAAGATTTAGTACAGAGCGAGAGAGTACAGAAAGGCGTCCGTAACAGATGTTGCATCATGGTTCCCACTGTCATCTTGCTTAGAGTTTGCCTTTGCTGCTGGAACCTGAACTGGATTATGTCCCGGGCCAGCTCCTGCTCTTCTGCTGTCCCAGCAAGACCCCAGGGCTGTGTCTCTTCCTGTGGAAAAAGCGGTGCAGAGCATTTGCCCGCAGCGCTGCCCTGTCAGCCCCCTACGCTGGGGCCAGCACCATCACAGACCAAATTCGTCCTCATTCACACTCACAGTAAAGGTCAGCGACTCCACAGTGCAGGACCAGAGCCCAAAGGTGACACGTTTGGAGGAAATCCTGGCCTCACTGAGGGAACAGAAAAATAATCCCAGGCTTTACCAGCTCAACAGCCATGGCCAATGTTCAACTATGGAATTACGCATACAGAATTATGAATGGGTTTAACTACAAGAAGGAATTAAATGCATGCTGAACACAGCAGAGGGAAATTAAAACTGATAGCCACTACAGGCTCCAGTATTTTCTGCAGTTAATTTGTCTCTTTCTTTCACCCAGTTTCCTTGAGTGCCACTTCTAAACTGCAGCCCAAATAAATATTCTCTACTTGCCAGGGCCTGAAGAGGATTTCATTTTTAAAATGTCACTTCTGATTTATGATCTGCTTCTAGCATGTGCTCTATAATCCTAAACTCTGTGCACTCATTTCCATTTACATTACACACACCGCACTAAACTCACGATCAATTGCACTCCGCCATATGTGAGCACCAGATGCAATTTCTTTTTCTATTTTTAAAGCGTTGTAAGGATACATGAGTTGCACCAGTAAGAAAATCCAGAAAAATTTCTCTTTCAAACAAGATTGGTAGTAGGAAGATAAATCCTATTTTAAATATAAAAAGTTAGCATAGCACGATGTAGCCGTTCACTTGTTGCCTAACAAGACATGCTACAGAATGAAAGCAACTCAGCTACCAGAGATGGTTAAAGACAGCTTAATCATCTCGCTTGTATGATTGCATTTCCAGACATGAAAAATGGCAACAACAAAGGAGAGGTTTAAAATAACAGGCTATCACAATAAAGGAGTGGCATGCTGGGCTGTGCCAGGCAAATGACTCGGCAGAAGCTCAGGGGACCGTACTGCCACACAGACTGCGACGGGTGACGAGAGGAGCAGCTGACAGCACTGTTATAGCTCAGCTGATCTGGTGAAATCTGGGGAGCAGCTTTTAACTCCAAGTATCAGTGTCTCGTAGAGATCCTCATGCAACTGCATTTCCACAAGACCGCAAGAAGCTGATTACCAAATGAAATTTTTTTCTTCGGAGGCAAGTGAACAAACACAGAGAAATCACCGAGGTCAAAAAGCAAGAATTCAAATGTCAAAGGAAGGTAGTGATAAGCAGCACTGCCAACCGCGCCATTTCCGAGATGGACACTTTTACCTATTTGTTCTCCGATAACTTCTCTGCAGAGATTTAGACTCCTGGAGGAACAGCCAAAGGTTCCCCAGGATGAGAGCGAGTTGGATTCAATGCACTGAGCAAGAAACACAGTCTGGGTAACTTCGTGTGTTGCTCTGACTGCGACGTGGCTGCCGGACGTAACCTGTCAGCTCGCTGGGAGCGTGCGAAGGGCATGTGCTACGGCACAACACTGCTGCTCCAGGCCAGAGTCCCGAACCTCTGCTGGCAAACCACGAGCAAACACGACTGTCACACACACGTAAACGTGCTGCTGAATGTCCAACGCACAGACACACCGAAAAGTGACACAGTTGATTTATTTTTTAAAAGATACCCACCAACAATCAAAGACTGCTAGATTATCTTGCTAATTACTGTTTTCTTTTAAAAATGTATCTGCTTTTTACTGTACCTTGATTAATGCTGGTGTTTACTTGACAGCTAGTTACCAGTGACATTTAATCAGCTTATCTAAAAAATATTTTTGGCTACAATAGCTAAATTGATGCACTGCAACAGGACTCGCCAAGCTGCGCAAAAGGCTTTAATCAAACTGATGAGTTCTCAGATTAGTCCTGGCTCAAGTTCAAATTGCAGCTCTGAGCAACCACTAGTGTACTTGAATTTTGCTCATGTTTATAAACACTCTATACAGGAGTAGGGCTGTCTCGATATCTGCAAACTTCATCAGGCCGCTGCTCACGAGGCGTTTCGAGTTGGAGCCTGAATATTTGGGATAGTGCGTATTTCCCAGGGAAAGATGCAGGGCACTTTCCATCCCAGACTAAATCAACCTCACAGCATCAGGACCATCAGACCTTTCCAACCAAAACCACTCGTCATAAGTTTCTCAGGGGAGAAGACAAGGGTGATAAGCTGAGAATGTGCTCCCAGAGCTTCACGTAGTGATTTCTAACAAGAGAGTAACTTTGACAGCTTATTGAAATGAATGAGTAAGCTTCAAGCCACTTCAAACTACGCGGGAAGTCGAGGGACTGTTCTGTTTAAGAGCTCCCCTAAGCTCACAGGGAGCAATCAGGCTGCTGTCCTATTCCCTTCACTGCTGCCAGGCTGCACATCTAGGCCAGCAAGGACTGCAATTCCCTGGCCTTCATAATTCAGGCCATGTCCAGCAGGGGAGATTCTGAGATTTGAAATGTTGGTTTCATCTTAGCTGGGGACTGAGCCATTTTAAATCTTGAACTGTCACAAGATAAAAAAACCCAAACCCCCACCGAATCTCTGCTAAGCTCTGATAGTAAAAATGATGCTGCTGGGAAATAAAAAGTCATAGGATTATGCCCATGAGGAAAATATGTAAGATTTGAAAAGCAATGAAATGTCGCAGCATGGCAGTAAGGACAAGAAGTCTCTCAGGCCTCCATCTTGCAAATATTTAAGGGTGTTTTAAAGTAATAAATATCACTAGCTTACCAAAGCCGAGGAGGTGTGCAAGACATGCAGGATGGCTTCCTAAGCTCTTTGGGGGCCAGGGATGTTGATTTCAGAGTTATATACTATTTCTGTTGTAAATGTTCTGCCTGGCATAGATTCAGATCAGTAGCCTTGGGCACCAATAGCGGTGCTGTTCTTAAAAATAATTCATGCTTTAGAATCAGGGCAAGAGACACAAGTTGGGCTGTGTAAGTTGCATTTAAACTGACTGGATTTCAGAGAGCTTTCTCACTAGTACAGCAGAGCTACCTCTACCCCTCCTTGTTTACTGTAAGGGACACACAGCTGGCTTCCTCCATGTGGTAGTGATCATGTTGCAACAAGGAGGCTTCTGCAAAGCTAAAGAGCAAAGCCTGCACTTAGGTTCTTATTTATTGGCAAAAGAATCAGTATAATCATAAGCTGAAAAATTAGGACTCGCTGCCACCACTGAAAAGTAAATCTTGGTTTAACCTCTGAAAGCAAGTCCTGATAAAAATGTGTAAGACACTTAGCTGTAATGCTTTCAGATGTGCTCTGGCTTACCTGCATCACAAACCAAAGTGTGCAGGGTGGTAAGTCCTAATTTATCAAGAGAGACAAACTCCCTCAATCTTTGCTTCAGGTAAAGTTTCAGTCGCACTTTGCTCTTTTGGTGTCCCAGCTCAAGTTTCTTGCGAAGTGTCAGTGCCTGCAGCTGTGCTACCATGCAGCAGCAGAGATGCTGGTCTCTTGGGTGGGCTGTCTCATTGCCCACGTGCAGAATGAGATTCCTGGCCTGAGCTGTCTCCGTGCCTGCATCTTCAAAAAAGCTGAATTTGGTAGATTTGCTCTGAATACACCCAGCAGGCAGGAAAGCTGCCGAGCCCAGTGCAAACCACTGAGGATGATGGTGGTAGTACAGGGCTGACCTGCTACACAACGGATTGCTGGTTTGGAAGTCTGCCAGTGAAGGGAGACCCAGATTCACGAGGCCCCTTAGCCCAAGGGTTCAAACCCACACCTCCCGCTCTAAAGGAAAATGTTCAGACACTCAAATTATCAGTGAGGCTGGGGTGAGACTACTCTTCCTCCTTTCTGCTGAAGCCACGCTGTTCTAAGACCCTCATGGGACCAGAGGGGAAAAAGCATGACCAGGAAGGAACTAGACTTTGCAGCCAGGCGATGGAGGAAGGAGGGACGAGAAGTCCTGGACTCTGGTCCCTGAGGCTGGAGTTACTGACTGATTTTATCCAGAAAGCCTACACTGCAAAATGCGTACACAAGTCATCTTTGCAACAGGGATCAGACCCCTCTCTCCTTCTTCATGCCTAAACTTTTGCTTTCCCTCTGGCAATTTTAAAAGCCCACGTTTCTTCATGGCAACATCTGAAGTGAACATCTCCTACTGCTCTGATGATGTCTCCTTCCTCCCTCCTATTACCAAATTATCACCTTCTTAGTCAACAGAGCTGTAAATAATAACCTGCATAATCCATTTGAACCTGTATAATCCATTTATTTCCTAAAGGTAGCTAAAGCTAAATTAACATTCCTGTTGTCTTGCCTGATTTAAACATTCTTTATGGTTTGCACATACAGGAGATCCTGAGAAGTACCCATTTCCTCTTTCATTGATCTATATCTGTTTTAAAATTCCAGCATCCTTGAGCAGAGATTAAAAATGAAAAACCCACGTTTGTTGTTTTGAAAATTTCCATATGTGCTTTACCTTAAGGGCTTTCTGTGCAGCTTCACTTGATCCAATTGCAATCAAGTTTGGTCCAGCCATGCTGCAAAAGCTCTTCAGATGCAAAGAATCATGAACAGGGACTGTGGAGACAGCATAGTCCTGTATGGGAGCAAAGAATAGTTGCTGTAAGTATTTTTAAATTGTCCTAGCTCCATAATTACATTGAGACATTCCACAATTAATTTTACTCTCTGCAAATTAACAATAGCAACATATCTCAGGGCACAGTGTCAACTGCTTAGGTATGACATACCCCTCTGGACCATCTTGTCTTGTCTGGTGCACTGGAGTAAAATCCAGAACATGTTTCAAATGTTACTATTGTTGCAACTGTAAAGAAATACATTAAAATGTATGTATGTACCTAAAACCTCTCCAGGGACCATCAGCAAAAACACATTGTCAATACATGAGAACATTAAGAATGTAAATGTTGATACGTTCTCAAATAATAAGAGCCTCCCACTATCCAAGTTACTTTCATGCAGCGATCTCACATTTCAGATCCGACTTCAGCATCTGTCACTTTACAGAATGCTCAAACCTTTCCAGTAACTTGTATCTTTTTTTTAAGTCCTAAATAAAGCACTTGAGTACGACAAACGTCTTGGCCAGTGTAATTTTTAAATTGGTTCAGGGGATGACAGCTTATATTTCCTGTGGCATGAATGAATCTACAAACCTTGAATGTGTCAGCCAGAATTTCTGCACCACGTTGATTTGTCCGCCTGGAAAGACCCACAAAAAATTCTCTGCCTGGAATGAAAAAATGAAGGGCAAAACAATTACAGCTTTTTTTTTGTAAGCCATCCAAAAAAACCACCGCATCAGCTTCTTCATCAGCACACACACATTTAAAAACAGGCCAGCTTTAGAGTCATTCTGAAGCAATCTTCATGGGTATAATTTTCTATCTTTCTTTTCTCAAGCTGAATAGTAAAGCTGAAAACTCAGCTTAGAAGAATGCAACCTGCAATTGTGAGCTGATAATTTAAAGCAATTATCTTTTTCCAGAAGACACTTTTCACCAGAAGCATAAATAGCTTCCTCTTCCAAAGCTCTGCAATGGTCATGGAGTCAGGAAAGAGGACAGCTGGGCTGGATTAGTACGGCACTGATCGACCATTTCCCTCTCCCTCTGAGACTTCCTCTGGTCTCGAAGGCAGCTCTGCAGCCACCGGCATCCTCCAGCTCCAGAGGAAATCAGCACGGGATCTGCACTGCATTAGCAAGGCCTCCCTTCCCGGTCTGCCTCTTCTGAGCCCCCTCTTCCCCCGGTGAACTGAGGCAAGCAGCCAGACTACTGTGATGCTGATCAAAACAAACAGGCTCATTCAGCACAAGCAGGGAGCGAGCATGTGCGCAGCCGATGTGAGAAAATGCCTAATGGGTTTAATGACATAAAAAACACAGTCAGTATCTTCATCTTTGAAGTCAACCATGCATATAAGGTGTCTAGCACACGACATCTGGCAGGCAACTCCACCAATTTCTCCATAAACTAAAACTGCATTTTTTGCATTTGTTTCATTCAACTAGTGACAACTGCCTGCATCAAGCCTTTACAAGTCCTGAAAATGAGTCTGCTGAACGTGGCTGCTTGTAATAAGAAATCGGAAACAACTGCAGGCAGTTGACTACTGAAAGCATTTTTCTTATTGGTACTTTACAAGCTAAAATAAAATTTGTATGCACAGTGCTGCTCTTTGTGCTGTGTGTACTGCTGCTTCATTTATTCAGGCATTAGGCAGGGCATCAAGGGTTGCATTGAAAATTCATCTCTCACCTACCTTCGTGACATTTAGTAAACAACTGATTTAACAAACCGCACGAACAACATTTTATTACGCAGATGACAGATAACACGCAGTCTTCACGGCAGTCAGAGAATGTAAACAGCAAATTCACTACCACTATACCTGTAAATAAGACGTCTCCGCCATCCAAGGTTGCATTTTCATCTACCATCTCTACTATATTGAGGTTGAGACTTTCAAGTACTTTCTTCATGGCTTCAACCTGTTTAAAAGAAAGGTGTTTAGAATGTGTTATACCATTGAAAAACAAAGAACTACCAGAAATACGTATTGTTAATAAGAATTAAAGTCCTTTAATGTGCCTTCGGCAACATGGACGGCAGGGTCCTTTGCGTCCCTGCCCACTGCAGTTCCCCAGCTCTCTCCAGAGGTCTTTGTGGTCTGGAGGAGATGGAGTGTCAAGTGGCAATGATTGGGCTCTTGCTTTTCCATGGGAACCACACAGCATCCAGGGGAGACAGACGAGGGGTCCAAAATGCATGTTAAGTCTGGTCCCTCTGCACAGGAACACCCTTTCTTGCAAATCCTGTCCCTTGGATTTGAGCAGGAACAGGTACCAGCAGAGGAGTGACTTTCTCTTCTTCCGCACTGCTCAGATACAAGACGTGGCTCTACCAGCCATGGAGGTGGCAGATCTACCCCAGGCCTCTCTTCAGTCAGGGGGAAAAACAAAAGTCCCCCAAATAGTAAACGTTCACTTTCTTTCTAGTTTTGCACCTTTGCTGAGCACTAGTTCTCCTTGCATTTTTGAGCTACCCTGCTATAGAACTACAAGACACTTCATGCGTATGTGCTGTGCGGCTGGCTGCTCGCCGCGAGAGCCGCACGTGTCGCAGGGAGCCTGGGGCTGCCAGGCCTGTTTC